TGCGGCTCCTTTGTTCTTTACTGGAGAAGTATTTGAGCTGTGGGCTGTCACTACCTCGACCCCAGAGTGTTTGCCAGTTTTGGGTACTCTAGCAAAGCTGAGATTAGCTGAGTCTAACCTAGCTTTGTTTCTCTGAGTCTTATGTGTTTCTGTCTTTGCTCTTCGGCAGGAAGCCTTCCTTTGAAAACTGGAAACCTGGACCTTCTCCCCTTGGAAGGAGTTACTTAGTTTACACTGAGCAGGGGAAAACCTCTACATGATCCGTTCAAGTACCCACTAGAAATCCAAGTGACAGTCCGCTCCATTACTCCTCTGGGTCCAACGTAAGTCTGCCTGTCCACTCTCCAACGAGTTACCTCTTCTCTGGATATTCCCACATTGACTGGATTCAAGGATTAACAAGAGTCCCCTCAAAACGTGAGTTCCTCTCCAGCATAATTTTAAGCCGCAGTCTCACGGTCCCTGAACTGATCTTTGTGGTCTCTCCTTCAGACTTTCCAGTTCCGGTTTACCAGTTCACTGAGTTCCAGATCCAACCTCTGTTTACATTACATCAAATAACCCTGTTAAACTGTTCCCTGTGTTCTCTAAGTGGTTTCTCTGCATGTGGGTCAGAATCCTTAAACCGATCATGAAACCACTGAGAAATATTGTAACAGTGATCCAAAGTTGTTCCATCTTTGGTTGGATACTTAATAAACCATCTATTTGAGGAGGGCTAGAGGTATCATTTTTTAAAGTAACTGAAAAAATAACAAGGGAGTTCAAATTTGTCTGCTTCACAGACAGTGTCTGGTCTTTGAGCATGCACTTTGCCTTCTGAATATTGGCCAGTGGTGAATTATAAATGCAAACCCTCATGTTAAATGAAAAAAAAATTCACAGGGAGAGTAAACGGTGTGCAGTGTATTATAAAAATTGATCACTTGATCAGAATCAGTCTTTTTTGTTGGCCACAAGGCAGGATAATTGAAATTAAAGGTGCCATCCTTCTCTGAGCCACTATGTTCAGACTCTCCAGTTGGGCAGCAAGCCCCTCCATCTGCACTGTCTGTTATTGGTAGGGATAGCTCTCTCTCTCCTCCTCAAATATAAGCTCCTCCGCATGTGTTTGAGGAGGAGTTCTCCCGTTGCATCTTCGCTTCCTGCAGCTGTGACGAGAGAACTGATAAGCTGTCCTCCTATTTCTCAAATTGCAGCGTTCCATTGTCATGGTCAAAACATTTTATATCTGGGTGGGGGGAGTTCTAATGGCCCCTTATTTAAAGAAAACATATATACATAAATACACACAAGTATTTTCTGAAAATTCCTTCAGCCTGTATTTTTAATGTTCAATGAGTGTCAATTTTGTGCCCCCTCTGTCCTGGACCTGGGACAGTCGACCCGTTTGTCACCCCTTGTCGGCAGGCGCGGAGTGCAGGAAGCAGCCTCTAGACATGTGTACAAGCTCAGTTTTAAAAGGCTCACAGAATGCAAAACTGAGTTTACATTGTCATAGATGAATAATGATAGTTCAGTGGGTGAAATGGATGTACAGAGAAGTTCAAACCCCATTAACACCTCCTTTCTCTGCAAATCTCACAATTCTAAACTTCCACTATAAAATAGTGAATCCAAACGAAGCCCCAAATGTAGGTCAATTTGGGGATGTTGCCTTATTTGTTTCTGGCCTGTACTTTTGTTAATCCTTGAAATTGACATACAGACCAGCCCCGCTGGTACACTGGCCCAAGAACGTGAATAGAGATAGATGTAAGACACCAGGTTAGTTGTTTAGCCTACAGTTGGGTTTACTTCTACAAGAATCACATAGCAGGCAGTTTCTGTATTGAAAATGGGACAGGGCCACGGGGGTAAATGCAGTATTTCAGGTTGCATGGCGAAAGGGGAACATTTTCACAGTCTTCCCAAGGATCTGAAGACTCGAAAGGCATTATTAGGGGGAGAAAATAGATGGAAGGGTAGAATCTTTAAAATGTATTAATGCATTATTCTCCTGTACACAATAAGACATCTCCCCTACTCTGGCCTGAAGCGCTCCCCTCACCTCAGATAATTCATCTTCTACCCCAGGTCAGGACACTCTTTTTTTTTTGCACTTGTTATAAACCAAATTAGAAGATGGTGCTGCCCCTTCCACTATATGACGGTAGAAGTGAAGTGGAAGTGAAGTGGGAACTGGAACTGTAGTTATAAGGACCCCCTGCAATTTGTTTACCGTATTGCCATGGAATTGAAGATGTCATCATATCCTCTATATAAACTAAGATGGAGGCCTCAACAATCAACAGCCTGACAAAAAGAAAAACAGACCAAAGTTTTTGAGAATGAAGTCAGATGGCAGCTTACACTGTGCCTGGTTCTGCTGGAGCTTCTTTCAGTTTAAAGGCAGTTTTCTGCTCCATTGTCACTACATGCTTTGCCTATGTTAGGGATTGTTGGTGAATCAACAACAAAATGCAAGTGAAAATTGTTTCTGTAAGCTCATTCAGGAGGAGCATGACTGAATGCAATCAACTGGTTTTACTTGACACAATCTTTTAACCAATCTGACAGTATTGTCTCTGTAAAGTGCCTTGAGATGATGTGTTGTGAATTTGCCCTATATAAATAAACCAAACTGAAATTAGGGATGCACCATCTGAGCAACTAAAGATTGTCAGCTCAGTTCTGAGAGCTCATCTAGAACTTTTGAAGATGATTTTACATAGATTTTTTTTCATAAAACGAAGAACATTATGGATAACCTTGAGCATCACCTTTGGAAGATTTTTGAACAACAACAGTGTTTTAGTCAAAATCTTCTTTTGACCGATCTCTAGAAATTTCATAGCATGCATGATATATACAGCACAGCTGAGGTGTAGTAGGATTTTTTTTTACAATTTCTAATACAAATTCTAATACATATTTTTTGCATTAAAAAATTGTTTGTCGTTGGAAATATTAGGTCTTATTATTGTCTGATATTTTTTTACAAAGTCACAAAAAAAGGGCTGGAATTTTAAACAAGTTAGATGATCAAACAATGGCCACAGTATATTCATTGGCTTTTGATACTGTCGAGAAATTGTGAATGCTGGAAAAATAATACTATAGTTCTTCTGGCAAATTTGATAACAAATATTTATTCAAAAAAGATTTTGGCTCATTTCATTTTGTTAAGGTAGAAAGATAGACCTTAATAATAACCCTTTGAGTAAAGAGCTAGTGGGGGTGGAAAACTTTTCTATTGTATAATCTCTTACTTAGAATTTTTTTCCACTACTGCCACCTGCTGTTGTGTTCCTGGATGTTGTTATTGGTGTGCATAGGCAGTATCTCATTGCATTGTGAGTTTCATGCTTTGCATTATTGCAACCTGTTCTGGTGATGATGCTCTGTGAGACAAGTGAGACCCTACAGTGATGTTGCAAGTTTTTAATACATGTCACAAAGAGGTTGAAGAGATCCACCGCCTGGCTCACTATTTGTCCATCCCTCTTCACGGTCAACACCTTTGCGCTACACTCTGATCAACACTCTCCTTTAAGGTCCTAGATTAAAGCCATAACATGCTAAAGTTTTGCATCTCAGTTAATATTAACTAGACGGGACTGCTCAGTGCTCAATTTGGTGTGTCATAATGTGTCATATGAGAATTCAGTGTAACTACCACTGCTGTGCATGTCCTGCTGATTGTTTTTTTTAGTCAGGTCATCTTAGAAATCACTAAGAAACACAACTGAAATATTCAATGTACCTTTGGGTGAGTGTTCTTTTGTTTATTTATATATTATTAAAAATAATATTTTATGTTGTTATCAAAGATCTGTTGTCAGGATGACTATAGCTTTTTGTAATTGTTCTAAAAGTGAAAAGACATATTGATGACTTAAAAGTGGATTTCTGTCTTGTATTTGCTTATATTCTGATGAGGTTTAATCTGGCTTTTCAATGATCAACACCACATGAAGATAAACCTTAGATAGACGTTTTGAGGTTTCATTACTTTTTACTTTTAGGGATTAGCAAGAAAATGTTTGTTCTGCATGCAAAGCATTGGCTTTAAATAGAACAGGCATTTTCACTAATATTTATTTTTCCTTTTCTTAGGTCAATAATGGCCTCAGTTTTGGGAATTGAAGTTATTCTTTCCGTTTACATAATTTCTTATGTTATTGGCTTCCCTGCCAATTTGGTGGCTCTGTATGCATTCAGTGTAAAGATCCACTGCAAGCCACGACCTTCAGACATCCTCCTACTGAATCTGACTGTGTCTGACCTGCTCTTCTTAATCACGCTTCCTCTTAAAATGCACGAGGCGGCATCAGGGATGGAGTGGACTCTGCCCACCTTCTTGTGCTCCATCATGTGCTTTACCTTCTTCACTACAATTTACACCACCTCCTTGCTACTGATGGCAATCAGTGTGGTTCGCTACATAGCTGTTGCCTATCCTATGACCTATCAACAACTGAAAAACAGTTTGTACCCAGTCACTATCAGTGCTCTTATATGGTTGATATCAGCGGCACACTGCAGCATTACATTCATTTTAGAGCACCATCCATCCTTGTCAAACTCAAATTCTTCTGTGTGCTATGAGAGTTTCACAAAGAGGCAGCTGGATGTTCTCCTTCCAGTTCGTTTGGAGTATTTCTTTGTGCTGTGCCTTGTACCGCTTCTAATCACCATTTACTGCTATCTGCGATTGATTTTGATTCTATTCAGCCGTCCCATGATTTCCTGGATGCAGAAGAGGAAGGCTATTGGGATGGCTTCGGGAACTCTTGCTGTGTTTATCATTTGTGTTCTACCATTCAATTTATCTCATGTAGTGGGTTTCGTTCAGGGTCAAAGCCCTAAATGGCGGTACTACGCCTTGCTTCTCAGCACATTAAACACCTGTATTGATCCCATCATATTTTATTTTTCCTCTTCAATCTTCCACTGCACAAGCAGCAAATCTATTTTCAGAAAGTATTTTGTCAAAACTGTAACAGTAAAAATTCAAGGAACAAATTCAAACTGAAAATGAATTAAATTTCTAATTGTGGACACAGAAATTAATAAAAAAAACATAACATTTTATTAGAAAAACACTTACGTTTTGTGATTTACCCAAAGTCTGCTGCGTTAAGATAATTTCTCTTGTTTGTCATTCACTATGTATTAACTCTAAACCATGATTGACCTTTTCATAGGAAAACTACAAGTGTACGCTAACTCTTAGGATATTGGAAGCTGTTAGCTTTAATCTTGAACATTAATTATTCAGCACTGACTTATTTTCCTCTGTTATAAAGCCAGCAATCTGTTCCATACTAATACAATCTGTTGACTTATATGTATAATTTATATGTAGTTAACAAGCATTATTCATATTATTTATTCAATTATTCATTTTAAAATCAAAATAAGACATTGAAATCACAAAATTGTGTTTTTATTGTTGGTTGGATGTGAAACCAGTTATTATTATAGTCATAATAATCAAATCTTTTTTAGCAACTGAAATTTATAAATAAAAAGAATATATAACAACAACTGAGTTTTTTTTTTCTCTGAGGAAACAACATACCTGAGTAGCTTACTGACTGCCACCATAATTTTGCAGAGCTGCATCAATTCCAAGTAATATGTATTACATTGATAAAAGCCTTTGCTCTTTCTTCCTGTGGTTGCTACTTCAGCTTTGAGAGCAGGTGGTTACGGTCAGATCTCGCCAAAACGATTATGTTTACAGCGATTCAGTCTACTTTTAAAAGTAGGGATTTTCTGTTTCCAGGGATCCAAGGTTTCATTGTTTTGGTCAAATAGAGGCTGTGGCATCTCAGAGTGGAATTGTCTGATAGGCAGGGGCAAATCTACAGAGGGACAATTGCTCTGGATCACCAAACTACTAATAAACAAGCTGGAAATATAAATAATCTTGCACAACGTATTGTAAACCCTATCAAAGCATAGCAATAGCAACATAAAAGCACAGTGTTTGTTAGCAGGTAAATGTGCTGGTTAACAAACCTATATTAAATATTGGCTGTGGTTAGTGTGGTCATGCAAATGTAAAATCGGCCCAGTAAGACAGTAAGGATTAGAGGGCAGCACTGAGGGCCATCAGGACCCAGAAGATCATTGGCCACCTGAAAGAGTGAATGACTTCTCCACAGGCATCTGCACATCTAGACATCATCCTGGAAGGTGACAGAGGGGTGACCCCAATGTGGTCTCAAAAGTGGAAAAAACAGACTCAGAGTGTTTGGATCAGATAGAAATGGATGTAATGCAAATACAGATGGAATGGACACTATGTCTGAACATAGTGTCCATTACATAGTCCTCGCTCTACATAGTGATTGAGGGATTTACAGCACATAATGGCCTTTTCTCAATTCACAAGAACACAAGTGTGAGAACAAACAACGTCCCAGGATGTTGTTCTTTCCCCTCCCTCTTTACCGAATATGCATCAGAGCAGACTTGTCCGTTCTCAAGATTGACAGCTATACCAGAATGCACTGTGGCAGCAGCTGCTTTCAATGGAGC